TTGACCATCTGGTGATGTCCATGTGTAGAGTCTTCTCTTGTGTTGTTGGAAGAGGGTGTTTGCTATGACCAGTGCATTCTCTTGGCAAAACTCTATTAGCCTTTGCCCTGCTTCATTCTGTACTCCAAGGCCAAATTTGCCTGTTACTCCAGGTGTTTCTTGATTTAAATGCTCAAAAAAGGTTGGCTATTACCATTATTTCAATTATTCTTGAAGCTGTTTTCCTTTTCTTTAAAATAGACAACTTTCTGTGCAGTTATAGATTCACAGCAAACTGAATAAAGTACCACGACTTCTCATTGCCTTCTGCCCCATACACACCCACGCTAACCCCCAACTATCAATATCCAGCACCTGAGTGGTACATCCGTTACAATCAATAAAACTCCACTGACATGTCATCATTACCCAACGTGCATAACTCACAGAAAGGTTCGCTCTTGGTGCTGTACATCCTACAGGTTTGAGAAGCGTGTAATGATGTACCCACCATATACATCATTATAATGCACTCAGTCTCATATGACTCTGCAACCCACTGGACTGTAGCCCACCAGGCTCCTCCACCCCTGGAATTTTCCAGGCAAGAATACTGGAATGGGTTACCATCTCCTACCTATCCTACTTCTACTCATTAAATATCACTCCCCTAAAAATCTACTGTGCTTCACTTTCTATCCTTATCTCTCCCTGAACTCCGGCAACTGCCGATCTTTCCATTCTCTTTAAATTCTCCCGTTCCCAGAATATCATACAGTTGGAATCACGCCACACGTTCCTTTGCATAGCGGCTTCTTTCACTTAGAAATATACATTCAGGGTCCATCCTCGACTCTTTACGGCTTGATAGCTCATTACTTTCAAGGGCTGAGTAAGATTCCACAGACTGGATGAACCACAGTTGATTTACCCATTCTCTTACTAAAGGACATCTTGATTGCTTCCAAATTCAGGTTACTATGAATAAAGCTGCTATAAACATCTATGTGTAAGCTTTTATGTGGACATAAATTTTTTAATCTTTGGGGTAAATATCAAAGAGTATGAATGCTGGATTATATGGCAAGAGTATGTTTAGTTTTCTAAGAAACTGAGAGATTATGGTCCAAAGTGCTATCATTTTGCATCCCCAAAAATAATAAATGAGAATTCATGTTCCATATCTTTGTTAGCATTTGGTATTGTTAGTGTTTCAGATTTTGGTCATTCTAATAGGTATATAGTAGCATCTTGTTTTAATTTGCAACTCCCTAATGACACATGATGTGTTTTAAAAAATTTTTTTCAATCTTCACTTTATATTGGAGTGGAGCTGATTTACAATGTTGTGTTGATATTAAACATCTTTTCATATACTTATTTGCCATCTGCATATCTCCTCTGATGAGGTGTCTGTTTACATGTTTTGTCCATTTTTTAATTGGATTGTTCATTTTCTTACGGTTGAGTCTTAAGTTCTTTGTATATTTTCGGTTTTCCTTTCTCAAAGTTGCAGAATCCTTCTGTCCTTAAAAGAAATACTATAAAGACTCTCAATGTGTAAAAAGTAGATCTGCTCTGGCTGACTTTCTAACTATTCCATGCCTGCTGCTACATCTCTAAGACATCCTCCTTAAATACAGGAAGGAAATTCACAAGCTAATGTTGTTCAGAAAAATCTTGATTACTGAAGTCTGACCAACAATGAAGTGAAGTAACTTACCTGACTACTACAGATGTTCTCATACTCTTCTACAAGGTCAAAAACAGTAGTTGAAGAGTGCTTCAAAAAAGACTGCAGGAAATCAGAAAACATACTCATGGATGCTAGAACACAATAAACAGAAGAGGAACAGACAAATTAAGTCTCATATTTCCAAGTCATTCTGTTTGTTTGAAAACGTAAAACATAACTCTAAATCCTTTTTTGAAACTACTGTGTTTTTGAAAGTACATAATTGTGGTAAAATACACGTAACCAAATTTATCATTTTAACCATTTTTAAGCATTCAATGGCAGAAAGTACATTCACAGAGCTGGGCCACCATAACCACCATCCAACCACAAAACTCTTTGCAGAGAGTTTAGGTTTTTGCAAACCTAAAACCCTGGAGAGCCAAGGCAATCCTGAGAAAGAACAAAGCTGGAGGCATCACACTTCCTGATTTCACACTATACAACAAAGGCTAGTATTCAAAACAGTACTGGCATAAAATCAGACACACAAATCAATGGAACAGAATAGAGAATCCAGAAGTAAACTCCTACATATATAGTCAAGAAATATTTGACAAGGGAACCATGAGTACTGAATGGAGAAAGGGTAGTTTCTTTAATAAACAGTGCCAAGGAAACTGGAAAATCACATGCAGAAAACCAAAACTGGATCCCTATCTTACACAACTCATAAAAGTGAACTTGAAATGGATTAAAGACTTAAATGATGACTTTCCTGGTGGTCAAGTGGTTAAGAATCTGCCTGCCAATGAAGGGGATAGGGATTCAATCCCTGGCCTGGCAAGAATCCACAGGCCTCGGGGCAACTAAGCCTGTGCATCACAGCTACCAAGTCTGCACTCTGAAGGCCATGTGCTGCAACGATTGAGCCCTTGGGCCCGAGAACCCATGCTCTGCAACAAGCAAAGCCATCGAAATGAGAAGCCCATGCATCGCAACTAGAGTGCAGTCCCAGCTTCCCACAAGTAGAGAAAGCCCATGAGCAGCAATGAAGACCAAGCACAGCCAAAACTTGGAGGAAAAAAGAAAGACATGAAACCTAAAACTGTATAACCCTTAGAAAAAACTATAGGGAAAAGGCTTCTTGACACCTGTCTTGAGAATAATTTTTGGATATGACACCAAAAGCACAAGCAACAAAAGAAAAAATCAACAAGTGGGACTCTATCAACTAAAAAGCTCTATATCAACAGCAAAAAAGATACAACCAACAAAATGAAATGGCAACCTATGGAATGAGAGAAAATATTTGCAAACCATATATCTCATAAAAAGTTAATCTTCAAAATATAAGAAGAATTCATAAAACTCAAAAACAAATACGATTTAAAAATAGGCAGAGGACTGAACTGACATTTCTCCAAAGATGACATACAAATGGCTAACACGTACATGAAAAGATGCTCAACATCACTTATCAGCAGGGAAACACAAATCAAAACCACAGTGAGGTATCACCACACATCTATAACTATCATCAATCAATAAGACAAGAAATGGCATGTGTTGGTGAAGATACAGAGAAAAGGGAACATTTGTGCACTACTGGTGAGAATGTAAATGAGTTTAGCCACTATGGCAAACAGTATGAAGGTTTCTTAAAAAATTAAAAATAGAACTACCAAATGATCTAGCAATACCACTTCTGGGTATATATTCAAAAGAAATGAAAACAGGCTAACAAAAAGGTATCTGCAGGAACTGCCCTATAGATACAGTGGATGGGAATCTGCCTGCCAATGAAGGAGACACAGGTTGATCCCTTGTTTGGGAAGATTCCACATGTCATGGAGCAACTAAACCTGTGGGTCACAACTACTGAAGCCCATGTACCTAGAGCCTGTGTTCCACAACAAGAGAAGCCGTCGCAATGAGAAGCCCGTGCACTGCAACTAACAGTAGTCCCAACTCCCTTAACCCAACTAGAGAAAGCCTGCACACAGCAATGAAGATCCAGTGCAACCAAGAATAATAAATAAAAAGAAAAGGCAGCTGTACTCTCATTCTCACCGTGGCATTGTTCACCACAGCCAGGATAGGGAAAAAACCCAAGTGTCTACCACCAGATAAACAGATAGAAAAGTGGGGTGTGTGTGTATACACACACACACATACACATACATATGTATGTATATATACATATATACACATGTACATATACATATATACATGTGTGTGTATGTATATATATATATAGGTCTGCCCTGGTGACTCAGAGGTAAAGAATCTGCCTGCTGATGCAGGAAACGAGGGTTTGATCCCTGGTTCAGGAAGATCCCCTGGAGAAAGAAATGGCAACCCACTCCAGTATTCTTGCCTGGGAAATGGCACAAACAGAGGAGCCGGGTGGGCTACAGTCTATACGAGGTCACAAAAAGAGCTGGGCATGACTTAGCAACTAAACAACAACATATTAATACATATATAAACACACACACACAACCAGAATATTTTTTAACCATGAAAAACTAATCTGCTATTTGCAACAGGATAGACCCTGGATAAACCCTGAAGGCATTAAGTAAAATAAATTTAACAACTAACCGAGAGACAAATACTGTACTGTATCACTCATGAGGAATCTAAAAAAGCTAAATAAACTCGAAGAACCAGAGCCTGGAACGGTGGTTTCCAGGGTCTGGAGGATAAGAGAATTGTGAGATGTTAGTTAAAGTGTACAAACATGCAGTGAGAAGATGAGTAAATTCTGAAAATCCAACGCACAGCATTGTTATAGTCAATAAATCTGCACTACATAGTTCAAAGTTGCTAAGAGATGAGATCTTAAATGTTCTTATCACAGAAATGATAATTATATAATGCGAAAGCACCATGGAGGTGTTAGCTAACACTAATAATAGTATTACAATATGCAAGTGTATCAAAGCAATATGTCATACACTTTAATGTTGTCAATTTAAATAAAAAACAAAAAACCTTAACACTGTAACTCTCCATTCTCCCCTGTTCCTACACCTTTGCAAACATTATTGCACTTTCTATGAGTTTGACTACTCTAGGTGTCTCATATAAATGAAATCATACAGTATTTGGTCCCTATGCTACTGGCTTATTTCATCAAGCATAAAGTCCTCAAAGTTCATTCATGTTGTAGCATGTGTCTAAATTATATCCCACTAAAAAGTTATTAATCATATTTTAATCCTTTATCCATCAATGGGATTTGGATTCCTTCTATCTTTTGTTCACAGGGCTATGAACAAGGAAATACAAATCTCTTTAAAATATGGTTTTCACTTCTTTTGGAATATACCCAGAGGTAGAACTAAATCATAAGGTAATTCTATTTTTAATTTTTTGAGGAACGACCATATTGTTTGCCGCAGTGCTGCACCATTTCGCATTCCCACCAACAACATATAAGAGTTCCAATTTTCCCATATCCTTGCCACCATTTACCATTTCCAGTTTATTTGGGGATTTTTCTGTTTTTGATAGTAGCCATCTTAATGGGTGTGAGATGCTACCTCATTGTGGTTTTGATTTGCATTTCCCTAATGATTACTACATCCATCCAGTGCTCGGTAGTGTCCGACTCTTTGTGATTCCCTGGACTACAGCCCACCAGGCTCCTCTGTCCATGGGATTTCCCGGGCAAGAATACTGGAGTGGTTGCCATTTCCTTCTCCAGGGCACCTTCCCGACCAGGGAGTGCATTTCCATCTCCTGCACTGCAGGGGGATTCTTTACCACTTGAGCTATACTGAGCAAATTTTCATCTGCATAATAGCTACTTTTGTATTTTCTTTGGAGAAATATCTATACACGTTCTCTGTCCACTTTTTAGTTGGACTGTCTTCTGCTACTGTTGAGTTGTAGTTCTTTTTATATTCTGAATATTAATTTTTTTGAGATATTTGACTTGCAGATATATTCTCACATTCTGCGGCTTTTTGATTCTATTGACTGCATTTTCTGACCCATATTTTGATGTAGTCCAATTTATCTATTTAGTCTTCGGTCACCTACAAGTCTTTTAAGATTCCAAAGATATATTAGTTATTAGTCTGTCAACAATTACTACAAAAACATGAGCCACATTTTAAAACACCTGAATTACATTTTAAGTACACCATAACAAAGTAACTGGGAAAGTGGTAGGTAGCAGGTTCTAAAATGACATGCTTTATTCAGGGGAAATATATACACCCTACTATAATACTGTATAATATCTAAGGCCTCAGCCATGGTTCATACTAAACAGGAAATCCTTATATTTTATATATTAAGTACAAAGCATTTTTGAGTTACTCAACATCTGAATGCTTATCCCTGTCATATACTACAAAGCAGTGGTCACCACAGTGTCACAGAGAAGGGTGCTGAAATCAAACTGCGCAGTTTCAAAGCCTGGTGCCATCACTTCCTAGCCAGGTGAGCTCAAACAGGTTACTTAATTTTTTTGAGCAGCTTTGGAAAGCTTCCCTTTCCATGAAAATGAAATCGTTATTGTACCTATTTAATGGACCATGAAATGAGTTAGCGTGCATACAGTGGTAAGCATACTGACTAGCTTGTTAGTCTATGATGATAAATTAATGAAGAATCTATGTCATAATGTGCAGGTACAAGCACATTAAAAGCAAATGCTTTTTCCCAAAAGGGAATGGTAATAACCAGCCTAAAGTCAGAATGCTCACAATACTATTTGAAGAAACAGCATTAGCATTCAGGCCAAAATAAAATATGTCAACAATGTCAGATAAAAATTAAACAAAAAGAGAAGCTCTCTCAACAGCACAAGTTTGGAAAGAATAAAAGCATTAGTGACTAGTCTAATAACCTAAGAGGCAACTATTTACACTGAAAAGATTAAATGGCAAGATGCTGCTCCAACTGAGAACAAAGGTGAGGTTCTCATCTAGAGTTACTACTGGGTTGGCCAAAAATTCCACTGAAAAACCCAAACAGACTTTCAGCTAACCCATTATCTTCAAGTGGCAGAGCCATTACCGTAACTAATAAGCATAACAAAAAATATTTTTTAATATTCTGGAATAGGAGATAATTTCCTTGATTGATCTCAGTAAAATGACAAACTATTGCATTATAAACAAAGTCCAAAGCTATTTTACCAGCTTCTCCAGGATCATCCTCACGTAACATAACAGCACTGAGGGTCACATCCTCTGTCACACTGTGGGGCTCTGCGTTTGTGAACAGCCCCGCACGCTGTGATGAGAAAGCAGTGGCCCAGTTACTGTCATCCAGGTTAGTCACCTAAAGATAAAGGAGATATAGAAAAGTAATGTGGTTATTGCCACTGCGTGAAAAGACTTCAGTACTACTAACATTTTTTTTAAAAAAACATATGTGGTTTTCACTTTTACAACATAGCCACATGTGCTCGCTTCGGCAGCACATATACTAAAAAGATAGCCACATGACTATTTTGTTAAGGATATTATGGCTTCGTTTTCTTCTTTGCCCTACTCCATACCTTTCTGCTCTAGTGAAAAGTGTTAATCACTCAGTTGTGTCCAGTTCTTCATGACCCCATAGACTGTAGCCCACCAGGCTCCTTTGTTCATGAATTTTACTGCTCTAGAACTACTTCAAATCAAAGTTTTAATTTTGGGAAATATTATGGTATAAATGACTCAGCTTCTTAAACAAATAAATGATAATAAAAAAAAAAGGATGATTTAGAAAATTACAGATTCAAATACTTGGGACATACCAAGCAAATGCAATGTGTTAAAAAATCCAGGCATGAGCAACAATAAAAATGTACCGTTAAATTAGTCTCCCCAAGGGAAAATGCTGAAGATGGGTGCTGGGACCCTATATATTAATGAGATAGTAACTATGGGCTGAGGAGAGTTTAGCTTCAGCTATCAAAAGACTGATTTCCTTCTGGGTACTCATCATCATTAGCACCCAGATCAAACTGAAAATCTTACACAGTAGTGATATTCTACATTCACAAAAATGTTTTGTAGGTCAACACATGATAAAATCAACCAACGTAACAAATAACTGTACTTCCTTCAACCACCTCTCACAACTGATACTAAAATTGGCAAAACAAAATCAAGAAAACATTTCTGACTACAAAGTAATTTCCAAACATTCTGTAATAATTAATACATATTTACTCTATCCTGGCCTTTGTAAGAGTAATAATTTTACTATTAAACTTGCAGTTCTGAAGCACTAAATAATAAAAGTCATCATCTTATGCTGAAACCTAGAAGCAGTCAATTCACTCATGTTTCTAAGTAGAATACGAATAAACGTTGCCAAAATAAACCAGCTTCATAGCCATAGTATAACTGTTCAATGACTAGATCACTGTTAGATACTAACACTCTAAAATATTTCAAAGATTGATTTAACCTTCTAAGACAAGGAGAGGTTTAATATGCAAAACCATTCCTTTGAAAACACATAATTTAGACAATTTTTGGTGTGTGTAAAACTCTGTTTTTTTAATAACCACAGAGCCAAATAAAGAGCCCTTTTCATCTTGTTCTTGGAACTAAATGAGCCATAATACTCTACTAGTCCAACAAAACTATTCTGTTTTAATCTTCTCAGTTAGACACAATTCTTTCTTTCTCTATAGGGTATTTTAAGCACCTAGGTCAGGTCATTCTGTGTTTATAGTCTATATGACATTTCTTTTGCTATTTTAAATACTGTACCATAATGATTCCTAAAGAGTTTCTAACTTACTTTTCCTCAAATTTTCTCTTTTCTCTCCTTTAATGCTCTGTTCTTCTTCCTTATGAGTCTTCATTGATTACTCTTGGCCTCCTCTTCTATGCTTCAAAACAGGGCTCAGTTTTCACAGAAGCTAGCAACCAATCAGAATTTATTTATTCTGATCAGTAAACTGTCAGATTAATACATTTTCTCTGCATCTAACTACTGCTGGTGTCACAGTTTCCACCTATGACGTGAGATGCTTACGGGTCTCAGTTTTCTGGAAGTCTAACCAAAAAATGATTTCAACCTACATAACTGAGTTACTTTTACTAAGAATAAGACTTCAATTAAAGTTTTTAAGCTAAATATAATACCATAATTAAAAAAGGGAGAAAATTTCAGCCCCATTTTTCTACATACCATAGACAGATTTCCCAAGAACCCTGAAGACTGTGTAAGCCGAGGAGACTTCCCTCCAGTTCCAAGAATGCAGGATACATCTGGCTGCCTCAGTAGGCTCCGGCTTGGTGGAGTAACTACAAGCAAGAAGTTAGTAAAAAGAATTTGAAGCGCATGAGCATTGATCATGAAAATGAAACAAGCAAATAAAAACAAATAATTTTCACTTTTCAATTATTTAGATTCTAACCAAATAAATACTTTCAATATTAACATTTCTATAGTATGAAAATGTAACTTATTTTTCTAAACATGAACTTTTGGTACTACTGAGCCCACCAAAAAAACTTTACTGCAAACAGAGATGTTTTCATTATAACATAACTGAACATAAAAAAAAAAAAAGACACTCATGAGTTCATGAACTTATCAAATTCTAATTTTATAAAGCATATTATAGTATAGAGGACATGGGCTCTAAAGTAAGCAGATTATGATTTGAATTTTGAGCAAAGGATCCTAAGTCAGTCAAGGCATAGATCATCCCAACTGCCAAAATTCATATATACTTACATACTTATCTAGCTATTTTATCTGCATTAATCAACTTTTCTAGGTCTCATGTACAGTTTCAGCAAAATAGAGACAATATCTACTTCACAGCTATTACGCAATTATGTAAAGCCTTACACATGGTAAGAGTTCAACAAATAGTAAGTGCAATCCCTATTATTTGCTCTTAATTAAAAATAACTTATAAAATATAATATATATTATAGTATTAGCTGCTATTACTGTTATCATTATTAAATGCTTTAAAAGCAAAAAAAATCTTACAAGGTTGTCGAAATGAGCTGGGAGTTCGGGGCATAACCTGGTTTCTTGGAGTGGTATTAGAAAAAATTTCATCTTGGGATGCCCGAACTACAGGAAATGTTAAGGAAAGTTTTTCGTATAGAAAAAAACATCATTAAAGTTAGAATGAACCATATTTATACTATACAAAATATGTGAATACGTTTTTCAAGGACAAGGTGTTTTATAGCTACCATATTTTCTATGCAAGGAGTAAATAATTCCCTTTCCCCTTTAAATTCTAGTTATCAGTTACTACAGTTCTGAACTAAGAGCTCAAGTCTTAAGTTACCACACACTGAACTAAGAGTTCTTAGATCTCAAATAATAAAAGAAAATCTAATCTCAGCAAAAGTTAACCACAATATGATAGCAGTAAAAGAGAACATCCTTATTTTCAGGGAAATACGAATCTCACTGAATTCCAACATTTGCCAAATAACACATTAGGAGAGTTAAAAAAAATTAATTTCCACAGTATTTTATTATTACAGCTAGTGTTTAAAATCGCTCATGAAAAGTCTGTAATGCTAACTCCAAACATGTTACAATTTTTATACTGATGCTTAAAATGCAAAGGATACTCAAAGCTCTTTTTTGGGCACTCTGCTTGCGTGCAGTCCGAGTCACCTCTGCCTCCCGGATCACAGGAGATAACATCTCTCCAAAGCCACTCCTAAAATGGCAATAATCAAATTCACGTGAATGAAATGAGAATGGACCATTTGCAAAACCTTTATCATTAAGACTGGAGCAAAGGATCCTAAGTCAGTCAAGGCACAGATCATCCCAACTGCCAAGTCTTTGTTTTCTTGTTGCTAATACTTCTCTGGCTCCAAATCCAACTTATCTCTCAAAGTCCTGCTCAGATTTTACCTGCATAAAGTCTTCTCTGACTTGTTAATGTTTTCCTCCTCTGGAATTACCTTAACACTTGGAATCTAAATTTGTATTCTAACATTGCTTTAAATAATTGTTTCATGAAGATAAACCTTTTTTTGTTGAATTGAGGAGGTTCCTAAAGTTGCAGGAACTCTTAAAAGGATGTTCTGTAGTCTCCAAAGTACTTCAAACCATGGATACTATTGTTTAAGCTGGTGACTTGGGAGGCTAAGTAAAAAATAAACCTAATAAATTAGAAAGAAATGATCTTTCAAGCTTTTCTTCCCAGAGTACACTAAGGGTGTCTCCTGTCTCAGCACTATTATAGTCCCAGACACTCTCAGCCCAACGTCTAGAAAATAAATTGTGTGTATTATGAGACCTGTATCTTAAGAATCTAATGTGTATTTCCTCCACTTAAAATCTTCAGATAGATATCTCTGGCCTACAGAATCAAGTCCAAATTTCCTACCATGGTTTTTATAATCTTACCCCAGCTTACCAGTTCAGCCACAAAGGTCACTTCCATACAAACACACACTGCATGTGACCGCTCAGCTACACGTTCACATCCTTACACCTCTGTACCCATGCTTCTTTTCAGAGGCCTACATTCACCTCTTTGGTCTATCTGGTGAATACTTACTCATCAAACAGCCTCCTGGAGTCTAGAAACACATATCCAGGTTGGCAACTTGTTTCTTAGCTTCCTTTGTTAGCTTCCTAACTGATCAAGTTCCTTAACCTCTTTTAGCCTCAATGTTATGTGTGAAAAGAGGATCACAGTAGCTACCCTCATAGGACTGTTAGAAGGATTAAAATAGTTAATATACCATCACAAATGCTTACACACACACACAGATCCGCCGGCAAAGTAGGAGACGCGAGTTCGATCTCTGGGTTGGGACGATCCCCTGAAGGAGGGCATGGCAACCCACTCCAGTATTCTTGCCTGGAGAATCCCATGGACAGAGCAGCCTAGCCAGCTGCAGTTCACGGAGTCGCAAAAATCGGACACCACTTAGCGACTGAACAACAACAATAATACATTTAAAGCGGTTAAGGCAGTCGATGTAGGCTACTGCCACTATTCAAAGCCACCTAGAATGTATCCTCCTTTGAGAGGTCTTCCAGATACTTTCCATGACAAGGAGACTTCACTGCTCCGTTTGTTTTCCCACAAAGTAGTACAAAACACTTGTCATTCCGCACTGCTCCGTCGTCTCCTCCACTATACATTCCCCGAGGCCAAGAACCTTGAATAACTCATCTTTATGCAGGGGCCTACCATCGTTCCGAGGTCATAGAAAGATTAACTATCTTGTGCTGAAACCTGTAATCAGGGAGTCTGGGGTGAGAGCCCGTTTCGTCCCTGTCTGGCTTTGTGATCTCGGGCAGTAACTCAGCATCTCGAATGCCGGGCCACCTCCGACCTCGCCCACCCCTGGAGCGCGAAAGTGAGTAGATGGCAGAGTTGCCATGGGAACCAGAAGGTTATCATTAACCATACCCGTCCCCGGCCCAAGCGGCCTTTCTCCCTTAGCTGCAGTCTCCCAGCCGGAAAAGGAGGCCTAGGATCAGCACCCAGGCCCTCCTCTGCTTCCTGAGTCGGGTTTCACCTGTTTCATTCCTCCAACACGCCGAAGAGGAAAGCGTCCGAGCTCAGCCGTCACCACCAGAACTCACCTGTCCATGGCTACAGCCTTCTCCACCGAGAGCTGTGCAAACTCAGCTACAGTTTCGCCACCGCGTTTCAGCCTTCCCGCTCTCCGGAAGTAAACCCTTCGACCCGGAAGCAAGTTCTCAAGTTCTCGCGAGGGGTAGGAGGGAAAAAGAACCAACTTTCCCTCTAGGCGCATGCACAAATTCTTTCGCCGGCAACCGCACGTGCGGTCTGCGCAGGCGCAAAGTTGTATCGGGGATTGATGGCGCCGGGCTGGGCAGGGCCGGACCAGGGGCGGGGCAGGAGTGGGTGGGNGGGGCCTGACAGTTTAGCCGTGCTGGGCGGCCGCCACTTTCTTGACTGACATTTGTGGGCGTGGTCCAGGCGCTGGGGTTCGGCTGGAGGTCCTGATGTATGTTGATGGTATAGAAAAACGTGAAGCCATTTCCTCGTATTCTATGAGAAACAGCCTGGACGTTGAATTCAGACGTGCCGGCTCTGCCCTTATATGTCTGCTTGTATGTCTCTGACTATACTCACCTTGTTTGAGCTGTCGTGTAAACCCCTTACAGTTTTTGAAACTGTTTTCCATAGTGACTAATTATTCTTTACTTGGTATGTTTCCCTATTAAGGAGAAAATGATCACCTGTCTTAAAAAGTATAAAAGGCGTTGGTATCGCCCTCTATTTCAAAGTGCAGTAGTGAAAAAGCTGTATATTCTAGCCCTAAAGGAATAGGTTTACGTTTTCTGTAGGCATTTGTTGATATATTCCACCCTAATCCTGGGAAACGTCGTTCCAGGAGGACTTCTTCATACCTAATTCCCACTGAGACAGCGTGGGGTTTTGAAAAAACGTGGCTTTGAGCTCCGTGTAGGTTAGAAACCCCGGCGCTGCAGATTCCTCGCCTGTAAAATGGAGATAACGCGTTCATCACCGAGTTCTTGGGAGGATTAAAACGAGATGTCAAATGTGCATTGCACATAGTAGTCATCGAAATGTTAATTTTCTCCTCCTTCAATAACTATTTGAATCTCACCCTAGTATCCTCGTTTTTTCCCATATTCTAATTTTTCTTGTACAAAAGATTACTTGTCTCTTAATGGAAAATGAAATGTGGTCTTAATGTTTTTTTGTCACTACTGGAATCAGGTTTATTCAAAGTAGGAGCCAGTGTTTCAGGTTCTTGCCATGTGTCCCCTGGCAAATGAATTGTAAAGTGTTTTATTCATAAAATGCATTTGCGATGATTGACCATAAGGCACACAGTAAAAGGGAAGAGCAGTTTGGAGCAAAAGATTACCTCCAAGGTTCAGTTCATATGTAAAGAGGGAACGTTGTTTAAAAAGTGTACCAGGACACTGCCCTGGAGGTCCAATTGTTAAGACTTTGCCTTCCACTGAAATGGGTGTAGTTTTCATCCCTGGTCAGGGAGCTAAGAACCCACATGCCTCAGAGCCAAAAAGGAAAAAACAAAAAAAGCCCATAAGTAAACAACAGAAGCAACATTGTAGCAAATTCAATAAAGACTTTAAAAATGGTCCACATCCAAAAAAAAAAAATTAAAAGTGCCCCATCCGAAAGGCAAGCCCAGAAACAAGGAATGATTTTTTTTTTTTTTTTCAAGGAATGATTTTTATGGGCTGGGTAATTTCATAGACTGGGGCTTCCCAGGTGGCTCGTGTGAAGAATCTGCCTGCCAAGCAGGAGACATGGGTTCGATCCCTGGGTCAGGAAGATACCATGGCGAAGGAAATGGCAACCCACTCCAGTATTCTTGCCTAGAGAATCCATGGACAGAGGAGCCTGTAGGGCTGTAGTCTATGAGGTCCCAAAAGATTCAGACACGATTTAGTAACTAATCAGCCGCAGTAATTTCATTGGCTAACAAGTGGAAGAATTATTTCAACTATTTTGGAGAAGGCGAGAGGATTTCGAGGAATTGGGCCACCACCACTTGATGGCCTTTTATGGTGGGTGGGCCTCAGAACTGTCGTGGCAACTGTTATTTAAATGCTAATATATTACAATGAGCTTATGAGGCTCAGGCTTCCGTTGTGGCTCAGCTGGCAAAGAATCCACCTGCAATGTGGGATACCTGGGTTTGATCCCTGGGCTGGGAAGATCCCCTGGAGAAGGGAAAGGCTACTCACTCCAGTATTCTGGCCTGGAGAATAGTTCATGGGATCACAAAGAGTCAGAAACAACTGAGCAACTTTCACTTCACTTTATGAGGCTCAGGGTCTACTGGAAGTTGAATCGTCTGTCGTCTTGGACCTAACTGGTTCTAACAGTTTATGTCATATTCTCAAAGGCTATGTCATTTTTTAAAATAATAATTTTATTTATTTCTTTTTGGCTGTGCTGGGTCTTCGTTGCTGAGTGGGATTTTCCCTCCTTGTGGCGAGCAGGGACTGCTCTCTAGTTGTGGCGTGCAGGCTCTTCATTGCGGTGGCTTCTTTCGTTGAGGAGCACAGGCTCTGGAGCACGCTGGCTTCAGCAGTTGGGGCTCCTGGGCTCTAAAGCACAGGCTCGGTTGTTGTGATGCATGGGCTTAGTTATTCATTTGGGATCTTTCCAGACCAGGGATGGAACCCAGGTATCCTGCATTGGCAGGTAGATTCTTTACCACTGAGCCACCAGGAAAGTTCAAAGTCTATATCATTTTTTAAAAGGTTGTACCCTGCCCCGTTATGTTCTGTTTCAGTTTTACACCATGACATTTGGGGGTTGCTTGTTACATAGCCACAGATAACTGGAACACATAGGATTAGACTATAGCACTGTTTTATAATCTGTTTTTCCACTTAACAGTGTGAACATTTTATCATGTCAAGTATCACTCATCTCCATAATTCTTAAATTAGCCAAATATTTTGAAAGAGGAAACTTCTGTCTCTATTTACATTAACGATACAGCTTAACACAGTCTGACTTCAACCCTCACTGCTAAACGAAAACTGCTCCCAGAAAAGTCACCAAAGATGTCTTTGTCAGTACAAGTTTACTTTTCATCTCTCATCATCTTGGGTGCCTTTGACCCTGTAGACCACTTTCTTGTCTGCCACCTTCCTAGAGATGGGTGTCAGGACTTTACTAATGGGCTTCTCCAGTCTGAGTCCTCTCTGGCTTCTCTTAACTCGTCTCCTATGTGGGCTTTTGAAATCTGCCTTTCCCTTAAATGTTGATTCATTTTCTTCAGAATCCTAACCAAAGCTCTCTTTTTTTCAACACTGCACAATCCTCAGTCTTTAAACTACCAACTCTTCCCTCCAAGATTCTCACTCTATACTTCTAGTCCGTATCTTGCTTTTACTGGACATGTCCACTTTGAGGATACAGAGTATCTGAAATTTAATATGTTCTAATTCTAAGCTTGAACTCAACAGATCTGCCTCCTTGCTCAAGTCCCACCAAAACACAACTACAACCCCATCTCTCCTCCTATATTTTGCATCTTCACAAATGGCCACATACAGCTGCCCAAGCCAAAAGCTGGGCTTTGGTTTCAGTAGGAGGGAAGTTTCACAGGGCAAAGGTATTCATCTCTTCACTGTAAGTCCTCCAACTGAACTTTTTTCTTCCTCTTGCTGGGAGAGTGATCTTCTAAAAATATAAGTCTGATTGGGTCACTCAAATTTCAATTTCTATGTGATCTCAATTTTTACCTTCAAACTACTTTACTCAGCCTTCTGGCATCATCTCACCACTCTCTTTGTCTCAAATTCCATGTTGTAGACATATTCAATTACAATTCCAAACATTCTGTGGCCACTTGCCATATGTTCTCCACTTCTACCAAGCAGAGGCAAAAAAGGAGTAATCAATGTCCACATCACAGATGCTATTCAATCATAAATAGATGTTTAGAGATAGTTCATAAAAACTTGGAAATGTTTCTGTTTTGTTTTAAATCAGGGAAGCAGGTGGACATGTATTATATACATCAATATGCTCAGAAACATTGTAAAAATACTAAATAGGGGCTGGGATGATAGTGATAAAGGATGAATTGGTGGATCACAGTTTTTTTTTAGGGCACTGAAAATATTCTGCATGATAATATAATGGTGGATACATATCATATATATTTGTCCAAACCCATAAAATGTACAACACAAAGAGTGAATGAACCTTTTTGTAAATATCAGGAGTAAACCCTTTTGGAAACTCTATGGACTTTGAGTGATTATGATGCTAATGCAGTTTCATCAGTTGTGAAAAAAATATACCACTCTGGTGATACAGGTTGATAATGGGGGAGGCACTACATGTATGAGTGGGGGTTGGGGGGAGATATGGAAAATTTGTGTATTTTCCTCTTAACTTGTGCTATGAACCTAAAACTGCTCTTAAAAAAAAGGAAGTCATTTAAAAAATATCTGAAAGATCACACGAAATTGAGAGAGTAATTTCCAAGGCAGGTTGATAAGAAGTCTAGGGGTCCCCAAGGAGAAAGAGGTCTGGAATATTCAAGGAGGAAGGAAGGACAAACTTGTTACTTTTTTTCCTCTACATTCCTTAGGATTATATAACAATAATGTATCCTGCCTGAGGACAGTCTTTGGATTAAACCTTCTGGCTAATTCTGTTATCTTAAAATGTAAAGTATGGGAGTAGGTCTGGTCTTTACAAGGATGTATCCTGCCTGAGGACAGTCTTTGGATTAAACCTTCTGGCTAATTCTGTTATCTTAAGAAATAAATTATGGGAGTAGGTCTCATGAGGTCTTTACAACCTCCAGACATTCTTTGGATTCATTGGAGAGTATATAACTCCATTGCTAACACTAGCAAGTGGGTAGTCTTTCTACCCCCCTCTGATGTCTATGTCAGAAGCTTTCTCTATCTCCTTTATACTTTAATAAAACTTTATTGCACAAAAGCTCTGAGTGATCCAGCCTTGTCTCTGGCCCCGGATTGAATTCTTCTCCTCCGGAGGCCAAGAACCCCAGCGTCTTTGCGTGATTAAGAAACAACCTTTCAAAATGTTGATAGTCGTTGTCTTTGGTGAGATTTGATGACTTTGTCTTGATTGTTGTTATTGTCTAGTTTACTTTTGTCTTTTTTCAAAAAGTAGTTTATTTTCATAACATATAAGTTGAATTGAAATTCAAAGGAATATTTTAATAAATTCATTAAAAATTCAATAAAAAAATAAAAAGGAACA